TAGAGTGTGAGCTCGACTTCAGGGGACGGACCTGCCAATGCGAGGTTGTGGTTGTTCCAAGAGGTGGAAAACCGATTCTGGAAAGGAACGCGCATGCTTTGCTGGGGGTCACGATAGACTGCTCACAGGGACACTGCTCCGTCCATGCTCTCGATGAAGCGGGAATTCGGGAGCGCTTCAAGCTTTTTTTCGTCTGCTACGTGCTCGATTCAAGACGTGCTTCAATCAGCTCTTCCTGAATTTCGGTTCTCCTTTGTCTTTCCGTGCCTTTCGGTTCTGAGAGCTCACCCATCAAGTCCTACTTCTCTCACCTGAAAATTCTCAAAATCTTCCACCGCGTCTTCACCTCACTGTGTCTTCTTCTGAAGTCCAGGCTGGACCGTCTCGTTCTGAGACTTGTCCCAGTTGTCAGGAAGGTTTTCACGGTAACCACAGACCGTCCTCCTGCTCGTCGTGCAGCTCCCGTACCCATAGGAAATGCACGTCTCCTGACTCCGCAAGAAGACTCTTGGCTAATCCCTCGGCTTCCGATTTTCGCTGCATGTCATGTCGTGCTCCCAAGCCCCACACACCTTCATCACCTCATCTTGTATCGGAATCTCCGTCGTCACCAACTCGTGCCCCTCTGTTTACCAACGATGACGCCCTTTCCACTCCCCGTCTCCAGAAGGCTACTCCGCCAATCTGCCCCTCTCTGCTCACCCCCGACTCTCTCGAGGCCTGCCTGACATGCGGTCCGGTGTACACGAGGGTCTCTGGCCGGTGCCCGTTCTGCAATTATGTTTCTCTTCCTCATCTACATCAACTCGGTCCTTATCTATGGCAACTCTCTGTCCCCTTCCCTCCGTGTATTGTCGTTCGCCGACGATACGTCAATTCTGTACAAGATCCGTAGAGACGAGGTTGAAGCGGACATAGCCGTCTTGAACGACTTCCTGGACCGTATCTCCAACCTTTTCCTTACCCTCCGTCTCACCGTCAATACCTCTAAAACCTTTGCCCTCCTTTTCCGTCACCGCAACTCGGGAACTATAACCCTGACGGTTGCATCGTCTGGGAGACTGTCCCCATCTCGTGGTCCCCCTCGGTCAAATGCCTTGGTGTGATCCTCGAATCCAACCTCTCCTGGAATGCTCACCTCACAGCTGTCCGCAGCAAACTAAACTCCATCATATTCTGCCTCCATCGTCTACGCCGCCTTGGCCCCCCCG